CAAATATTTTGTTCATATTTCATGTTTAGAACTTGATCAATTCTTTTACATGTTTGACAATATTGTTCATAATTCGAGAGATGAGTTCAATATTAGGTCTTTAATATTTGACACAATTTACTTGCTTGAATCGAGAGATTAGTAGGTCATTGTGAGGATATTAGATCTTTCGTTCTAATTGGAGTTGAATTGCATGTGTTGAGTGGAGACGCTAATATATGTGATTTAATCTACGGTTTTATTGATCTCGAGAGGGACGATAGGCTAAAATTGCGATCATCTTATAGGGCAGATAAAGAAAATAGTTAGTTGTGATAAATTTGGAGGAACCCAACTGTTAATTGAACCCATAGTCTTAGAATCTATCATTCCCATATAATCTTCTTAAGTGTTTCTCTAGTTGTTTTCTTATTCTTGCTTTATTTCCCTTGATTATATTTCCTTAGTTTAGTTAATCCATCTCATATTCGGTCGTCTAAATAAAATCAACACTATCATAATCTAGTAATTGGTATAATAATTATTTGGTCTCTTGGGATACGACCTTGCTTGCCACATACTACGAGCGAAGCCGTACACTTGCGGTCGAGCTTTAAAAATATAGGCGAACATCTAGTTTCTCTTCCACAAAGCCTTCTTTCATTCTGTTATTGCCCCATGTGAATGGGTGTCCTTCCATATCAATTTCAATCATGCCCATGGAGGAAATAAAGCTGTTGAAAGGATGAAAGTTGCTTTCAGGCCTTGTTCTGCCTCCACTTTTGTCCTCATGCCTGCAAATGTCATTCAAGTCACCAATGATTGTCCAATGGTCACCCCAGTCAGCTTTATCTTGCTCAAGCATTCTCCATTGTTGGAGTCTAGTTTCTTTGTCTGTGTTTATGTATACAAAGGTAATCCACATGGTAAGGTTCTCATGAGGCATAGAATATTGCACCTGGATGCTGAAATCTGTACTTCTGATATGAGAAACGGTAGGTTGAGAGTCCCACATTAACAGTAATCCCCATCTAGTGCCTGTTGGTTCGACTATCCAAAATTCGTCTTCAAAACCAAGCTTACTGCAAACATCCATAGAATATTTTTTGTTTTCTTTGACTTCTGATATGAACACAAAATTTGGATGGTGAGATTGTAATATCTCTCTTATCTGGATACTATAGAGGGTCCACCCAGCCCTCTACATTTCCACACCATAGCTTTCACTGGGGGGGTGTGAGCCATTCAGGGCTGGCTGCCTCCACCTTATCTTCTGCTCTTTTCAGTTTTTTCATCTCACTAGGTGCATTGATAACCTCTCTAGAGAGTGATAGTTGCAAGCCTTGGCTTGGTCTTTTCTTCCCTATTTGGTTATGGGATTCTCCCTTTTCCCCTGTTTGCCTAGCCAGTCTTCCCACTTTGCTAGCAGTTCTTTTCCATGTTTTTCCTTGGGTTACTCGGTCTTTCTTGACAGTAGGATCTGTGGTTAGGGCTGTGGGGTGCTCCATATCCATGTCTGGGTTGGGGTGGCATTTGGATATTTTTGGAGGCAGAGGGTTATTTTCCAGAATTGGTTGCAGATATGTAACAATTTCTTTACCTTTTGGGTTTGGGGAGCTAACAGGGATGGATGTTGTGGATTCTTCAATGTCTGGGGTGTGTCCTTTCTGGTAATGGTGTTGTTGGAAGTGGCTGCCTCTGCATTTTTGCTGGATGATTGCTTGTATGAGTCAGAATCCATTTTTCCTGTTTGAGAGGTGTTGTGCTGCTGGAAGCCCTCTGCATTTGGTTCAGATTGGTTGCTTTGTGATGGGGAGGTAGAGATTATAGTGCCTTCCAAGGCTCTCATCCATTCACCGAATTGGCCCTCGTTGAGTGTCTCATTGCTTATGTCTTTTTGCTTTTGGGTACAACTTTTGTCTGTATGACCAACTCGGCCGCAATATTAACACAAGCTCGCCAGTTTCTCATATTGGAATTGTATAGTGACCATTTTTTCTCCCATTCTAATTTTAGTCCATCTAGGCAGAGGCTTATTTATATTGATGTCTACTTGCAGTCTGATAACTCGGCCCCCAGGTCCTCCTGCCTTTACCATGTTTACATTTTTAACTTTCTTGAAAAGTTTGCCTAGCTTTAGGCCACTTCTGTGCTCATCCAATTTACCGGGATACCATGGACTTGTACCCAGACAATTAGTTCCTCAAAGCATTCATGGTTTGCTGAGATTCCTTTTTGCCATTTTTTGAGAATAAGGTGTTGGTTTTCGAATAGCCAATTTCTTCCTTCCGCAATTTTAGTGCATTCCTCTTTGAATGGGAAAAGGAATTGAAAGTAGTTGGTTCCAAATTCTCTTACCTCAAGAGAATTGCCCAGTTTCCAAAGGAAAGCCATTGTAAGCTTGACTCCTACCCAGTTTGCTTTTCTTTCTCCCACAATCTTCTCGAATAGACTTCTCTGGCACTCATCTTCACTAATTGTTACATCATTTTGCTCTATATCAATGAAAGCATCTTCTACCTCCGAGAGTGTGAATTTGCCCAATCTATACCCTAGTTCATCCTCCATTTCTCGAATGAAGGAAGCTAACCCTAGATCGGGCTGGAGAATCGCCGCAAGGGAGAGAGACCAATGTCAGACACTGGATAAAACCTCGCAATGTAGAAGAAAACCCTCAAACAAGGAGAGAAAGGAACTCCCGAACAAGGAGAGAAAAAAAGCTCTTTAGTTGTTTGACTATATACAATCCGTTAAAAACAACGTTTGGTAAACAACTTTTGTAAATGGCGTTTGTGGTCCAATCCGCCAAAATGAAAAATGTTGCTTTCTGCAGCGTTTTGACTTAGCGGTTCAACATAAAAAATTTAAAAGTCTTAACTGTCTCACTCATTATTACAATAACAGATACATTAGACAACTCTCTCTACATCTCACAATTTCACGAAAAAAAAAAATTAATCAAAATCATGATACTTTTTTATTCAAACCCATGTAAATAATATTTAGTTTTTCAAAATTATAAATGATGCAATATGACAGATATATTTAACTATATAAATTCCATTCTTTTTTATTCAAAATCATGTAAATAATATTTAGTTTTTCAAAATTATAATTGATGTAATATAAGAGATATATTTAACTATATAAATTTCATTCCAACTAATTATATAGTTTAACTTAATAACTAATTTTACTAACTATTTTTCAATTGTAATGAGATATATTGCAATTGACTCATACTTAGATTTTTTAAATAGTAATAACTTGTTATTAGCTTGTTTATATGATGCGATCTTATTTGATCAATTAATAAATATTTTTATTTGATTATTATTTATATATTTCTATATTTTAAACCACTTTAATAAATATTTAAATAGGAATTATTTTTATTTTCTAAATAATTGTACATTCAACATAAATAAGAATGATAAATTTTGGTGATGTCCTTATTAGTAATTCGACATGTTAATAGCTAATTGAAAATAGCTAATTTATCGAACATTTTTTTACAAATCGCTAACACAATCATCTAGTCAAAACAGCTAATTCAATCCGCTGGTCAAAACAGCTAATGCAATCAGCTAACAACTATCAGCTAACCACTGATTACCAAACAAAGCCGAAGTCATTAATGAAGTCATAAATAAAGACAAGACACCGATAGGACAACTCATCAGTGCAGAGCCGAACAAAGCTCAAACCGTCAAATAGTAGACACATTCAATTAAATGCAACCTAGCCATGCAAATGATTAGTGACAAGACGTTTACTCATAAACATATCACATGAATAACTCAATCTGTCCATGCAGACTGACACCTGACCTATTTTAAGGACTTACGTGTGCATTGTACTTTATTACCTCTCAGTTTTTACTGAGAGACGAGCTATATAATCAGTAAAAAAAACTTACTCAAAGTAATAACAGAAGGGAAAACCAAAAGACCGAAATGCTTTTTTGTTCGGCTTGTTTAATTCATTACTTATAATAGAAAAGTAACTAATAAGTTAGTAAAATATTATTTTTTTAAGTTATTATTTGATTTTTTAAATATTATTTATTTAAAAAATGGCATTTGTACTATAGATACACAAGTATTATTTGTTTAAACACAGAAAAATGAAACCTAAAGAAAAACAAATATTTAAATATAACATGTGTCAACCAAGATTCAAGAGTCCAATATCCAAATAACATTCTCCAATAATAAAACTAGAAAAAATATTTAATTATAACTTGTACGTATTAATCAAATATCCAACATCCAAATAATCCAAATGACATGCATGAAATACAATAATTACAGTTCTCCAATAATTCAAAATAAGACTGAACTCTTGAAAATCTAAACATACAGTAGTTATGAAACTGAACTCTAGATATACCCAAATAAGCAGCAAGTACTGCTGCTATATATACCATGTATTTGGCATCAAAATAATAACAAGNATCCATTGTGTATTTAGCAATGGCCAAAACATCTCTGGTATTCCTCTTTCTCTTCGTAGCCTTGTCATTTATGATTTCAATGTCAAATACAAAACATTGAATAATTCTAACTATCTATCACTTTCAATTATTTATTTTCTATTTTTATATCAAATTAATTTTAATTATTTTTTTTAATATTATTTTAATACAAATTTAAAATCACACTAACAATTAAATATACAAACTTTTTGTCAAAATTAATTATAACTAATAAAAAAAAATCAAAGATCAATAAATTTATAAACAAGCCAACCCTAAAAGAAGCCGTTGCTCGAGGAGTTCAAAAGGACACAAGGAAATGATTAAAACGAGATGGTCATACTATTCACATATATCTCGACTTTTATAATAACTTGCTGTTATGTCACATATTTGATATTTCAGTACAAAGTGTGAATATGAAATAAAAATAATAGTTGCATGATTTGCATCTAAATTGAAAATTTCACTACCTTTCTTACGAAAAATCTGGAAGATATGCATACATACAAAAATAATACTATTAAAATACTAACATTGTACAGTAATTTCCAATAATTTCCCCCACACTGCCACAAGTGGTGTACTGGTGCGTAAGGAAATTCAAACTCGATCACTTTTCACACACCAATAAAAAAAGATTCTTATTTTCAGCAATCAATTCACACACCAATAGAAAAATATTCTTATTTTCAGCAATCAACATATTCAGCCTCCAAATTCTCAGCAATTGATAGGTAAAAAATGGCCGGTCTTTGGTCCGATCATTTCCCAGCCAGTGAGAAAACGCCGACGGTACACTCCCCTCGCCGGACGACAGGCGTGTGGTCCGAACTCTTCCCCTCCGCCGAGAAACCTCCGTCTCCGGCGGCAACTCCACCACCGCCGCCGCCGACGCCCCTTCTTCGCTCTCAGAAGTTTATCTTCTGCCCAACATGTAGCAACGGCTGCCGCATCCAGACGTCGAAGACTCTCAAAAACCCCAATCGCCAGTTTTATACGTGCCCCGTCCCTGTTGTTAGTCCTCATATTCAATTTTTAAGAAATTATTTTACTTTATTCTATATTAACTAACACTTGATTTGTGTTTTTGGGTGGTGAAATGCAGCAGCACAAATTCTATAAGTGGGCTGACGAAGTGAGCACTTTCGAGTTAATCGATGTGCCCTACTGTGGGTGCTCGGCCGGTGTTTGTCGGGTTCGCAAGGAGAGAAGAGGGCCGAATGCCGGTAGGATCTTGTTCATGTGCAGAATAAAGGAGGTATCATATTTAATCTCTTTATCCATTTATATGGGTTTTTGTTTGTTATCTGATTTTTTTGTTATTTCCTTTTGCCAATTGTGGAAGATAATGATTTTATTCATTAGTTCTCTTGAAACCTATCTCTTAGGTAGGCATTTATGGGCGAAATTATTAAAATCAAACAGTGTCATGCTGCTTTAATAAAGATTATTCCAAAATGGCAGATTATTTTTCTTTTATATTCCCCTGTTCATGATTAGTATTGCTATGTCTAATTATATCTTAAGACTCGGCAGATGTACAATAAACGAGTAAAATTGAAGATTTTGTAGTTTAAGGTTTGATCAAGTTCTATGCGAAGTACTTTTTGTTTGGAAAAAAAAAATAAGCATGCTTTCTGGATTTAGCCTTTTGTTTTCTTTTTCTCACATCTTAGAAAATGATCTTGTGGCTACGGAGTTTTGTCATTTGTGAAAGATATCTGATTCATCTGCAGGGAGAAGGATCTTGTGGCTATAAGATTTGGCAGGATGAGCTAGAAAATTCAGCAGTAGGCAGAGCAAATGCAAACTTAACTTCATCTCAGTCACCTAAGATTAACACCAATCTTTCCAAACCCACATTAACCGAGGAAAACATTCCAAGCAATGAGTTCCCATTGACCGGCTCTCTACATCCTGCAAACTGTCACAGAATAGAATCTAAAGCGACAGATCAGTCACAATGTCAGGAAATCGAACATGAAGAATCCCCAAGGAGAGTTCAAAGTATTCTGGACAATGGAATAAATTTATCAAAATCGCCTTCACCTATGGCAAATGGCAATCACGTCAAGCCCGCAAATAGCATATCGATTGAAGAAATCGAGTCACCTGAGATTGAAAGCTCAGTAGGACATGTCACCACTACTGAAATGATGTATCGAAAGACGGAGCAGTTAAAATGTCAGGATAACAAACGTGATGCATTGGAAACAAGAGCTCAGATGTTATCAGATTTAAAGGTGTCTTTATTTCAGTCGCCCACGTGCCATGTAGATCATGCCAAGCCTGCATATATTGATTTGGTTGAGGAAAAAAGTGATGAGGCGGAAGGTAATGAGTTGCCTGAGATTGGCCCTTCAGAAAATCTCCACTATCATCAAGGTGTCTCATCTGACAAGACAGAGAAACAAAAATGTCAAGAAAACCAACCCCATAAATCTTCACGGAGACCTCATAAAAGATCTAGGCATGGAGGTTTGAAAGGTAGTGAGTCTAACTTAAGTTCTGTGGTTGATCACCTGTAGATAACATAGAAAAATCCGAGACAATATAGTGAGGTTTTATAAAAAAAAAATTTGCTTTTCTAGAAAAAGATACTCTATTGTAGGCACTTGTAGCTTAAGGTAATTCATATCTGTAGTTGGGAATGAAGTTGATGACAGTTGCAAAATAGAAACTGGGAACTTGAATATGTTAAAGGAGATTGTTTACCAAAGTGCTTGTTTGTTTTTAAAAGTCAAATTGAATATACAAGTTAGGACCCCCTCCCATGCATTTGGATTCTGATATGCAGAAACAAAGGCAATTGGTAGCTTTGAAAATCCTAGAAACTATTTTTTTTTTCAGCCAGCTTTTATCTCTTGCAGTCTCCTCTTCTACTGGACCTCTTGCAGTGTCGAGTTCTTTAGTTCCTTCACAGCCTGTCACGATTCCTGCCATGAATTCTGTGTCGGTCAAACAATGTTGGATGGCAGCTGCAATCAGCCAAAATTTAAGTATTCAACTTGAGGGTTGGTGGGGAAGGCTTGCTTTCCATCCCATGCCTTCCTTGACTACTCATGCATCAAAATCACTCAACTGCTGTAAGTGTGAATGGCATATCCTTCATTTCTTCTTGGTCTTCTTCTTCTTTGAAACGCTAAAATATCCAATTTTTAGTCCTTTTCAAGATCTTCTGCCTTTTACAAAACGATGATATATTGTTATAATAAGTTACTGCTTTACATAACACCTAAAGTGAATCAAAGTCTTGCTGTAAAATGTAGTTTTTAGTGATTTTGAATCTCAACTTTGGTTCTAGTCTACATAAATATAACTGAATGACAATCATCTTGACTTCACATCAAATACATAACTAAAATCCCTTCATACAACTTATTATTTCACACTCTCTGCTCTCTTCTATCAACTAGCAACAACCACCATTTTTAACTATTTCTGATTTCCTACTACAATAATTCAATATATCCAGAAACAATATGTTTCCATCCATTTACAAACATTCTCATCCCTCAAACTTTTATCTAAACAACCTCTTTGTTATTCAGACATCTCTCTTCAAGACCCCACTTTCCCTGTTCAAGACAAGATCCTGATAAACAATCCTGACAAAAATGGCCAACTCTCTCACATCAACTCCTTTCCTACCACTAACCCACAACAACCCAGTCCAAACACCCCAAACCCCATGTCAGCCTTCATCTCAAGAGCCTTTTCCCAGGCAGCCAACCAACTCAAACACGACTTTCTCTGCCTTCTCCAAAAAACGGACCCCAAAGACCACAAAACCATGAGGCTTGCCGCACAAGACACGTTTTCCGCCCTCGACCTTCTATTATCCGATAACCGAGACCTCCGAACCCGTGCAGAGGAGTACATATTCCGCGCTTCAGCATTGGCCGAGATTGAAAAGAGAGATGAGTTGCATCGAGAGCTGGTCGAGCAGTGGTTAGACGAGCGGAGAAGGTTAGACGAGATGGGTTCGGTCCAAGCAGAGGCAGTCGAGTCTGCAGGTGAGTGCAGAAGGCGGATTGAGAGGGTGCGGGAGAAAGTGTCGTCGGCTATGGAGTGGATTTTTCAGGTGGAGGCCGAGTTGTCGTGCTATGAGGTGGAGATGAAGGGTATGGAGAAGGAGATCGGGAGGATATGTGAAGGGAAGAAGGCACTTGAGGAAAAGTATGCTACTGTTGGTGAGGAATTGGAGAGGTCGAAGGAGGTTATGGAGAGGAAAGAGGCAGCTAAGGCCGCGTTTGAGCAGGCGAGAAGGTTGCTCTTGGGTTAAAGGCTAAAGGGTGATTTATCTGTTACTACTGGGTGTTTAGTTTGTTTGTGTATAATGTGTGTCTCTAGTCTTTTAATATTTCTGTTTTGGAGTAGGGTTGGGTTCCTCTTTTGTGATATAATATATGTGACATCTCTAGTATTTTCTTCTGGCTTTGTAATAACGTTTAAGGTAACTTCCATTTCTTGGTCTGTAAACATAACCCGGCTGGTAGATGGACCACTCAGTGTTGGGGTTGCAGCCGAGGAGCGGGTGGAGGTGGCTTGGCTCATTGGCTGGATTTTTTTTTTCTCATTATTTTTAAATATATA